GAACTGGGAATACATTTGTACAATGTGCACAGTGAATATTTGTTGTAAATAGTTTAAAAATCCAAGTAATTGTAACTTTAGAAGTTGTTAAATATGTGACAAATACGTTACGTTACTCCATCTTACAACGGTGTAACGTTATTACCGGGTTTCCTGGATTAACTACATTTCCCATAATGCATGTTTGCCCGGGACATTGACGGTGGAGGAAGGTCCATGAGTTTTCGCTGTTCGCCGGTAATGCAAGTGCGTACTGTGAGTATACTTATTTCAATAAGAGTCTGCCTTACACAGTAAATATTTTACGTTATCGAGTTGTGTGTACGTGTGTGCTATTGTGAAACGAACAATGCTAAACAACATAATGTGAGTGTGTTATCATGATGCTAACCAGGCCTGTGTTTGTATTTCTTCCTAGGCTCAAGTGTGTGGTTGTGAGATCATCTCGAAATCCTTTTAATGTGACAGGTAAAATGACATATTCATAGCCTGTTATACACTAAAAAGTATTAGTAAGTTCATGGTATGTAAGGATCTTAAAATATCTAAGGTTAAAAAGATCATGCATTCAGTACTAGTTCATAGAGATTGATAAAATTCATAATTGTGTTAAAATCCGTCTAGTGTAAAAGGGTAAATATTGTAAGAGGAATGTGTAAACGTTATATTGACTACTTTATTTTGTGGTGCCTAATTTAAGGGTAAAAGTGTTAATCTGTGATCTACTAAATGCTCTTAATCTATGAGCCTGAGATCGATTGCTCTGGTCTCCACCCAACTTTCTGGGGAAATCGCGGTCTTTTTTCTCATTATACTAAAGTTTTCAGTGAGGAAAGATAACTGCGTCACTCGTGATTATTTCTCCCCTTTTTCAGGTACGTTATTGATATAAAACGAGTTAATTTGAATGTAATAACTTGCTAACATGTCAAGAGAGTTTAAGGTATGTGTTAGTAACATCTTGAGTAAGTTAGAGTTAAGTTGAAGAGAGTTATTAGGTGCGTGTGTGAGTAAAACCTGCTTGGTTGCAGGTACTGAGAGTAGCTGCCATTTTATGTTAATTGTGAATGAACATGTGCGCTGTTAATAATATATTTGGGGTTATTTGTATAATGTGTTTTGAATACTTTGTTGACATGGTTGATAAATGTAGTTATGGGTTACTGAGCTAAAGCTACTTTGTGTTTGACAGTTATATTGAAACATTTGTATATGTTTTAGTGAACTACAGTTTATGCTGTTGTGGCTTGAATAAGCTTTGTACCCTACAAAACTCTGGTTCCTGTAGATCTGTTGTTCTGTAAAATGTGCTATTTTTGTAAAAGGATTATACTAAAGTTTTCAGTGAGGAAACATAACTGCGTCACTCTCGTGATTATTTCTCCCCTTTTTCAGGGGCGTAACATTAACAGTTCAGGTAGGATGTATTATGAAATAGTGTTACTAATAATTGGTTTTATTTTATGTGTTTCCACAGTCATTCTTTTGCTATTTCTCTAAATGTTTTTATCTCAACTGTGGGGTCAACAGTTGATCACTTGAACCCTTTATTAATACTTTGTTAAATACAAAGAACAACAACAGAAATAGCAGATCTATAAGCACACAACTTTGATGCTTTGCTTGTTAATAACTAACTTGCTTATCTTTTAACATTTTCATTTTTACTATAATTAGTGTACAATGAATGTTTTTGATAGATTTGGAAACTTTTTATCTATATATTCACATTATTATTTTAAAAATGTTTTTGAACATTAACAAATAATCTTTGTGCGCATGTTGTGTACAGATATCGGACTACAAAGAGTGCTACAGAGAGCCAGCGTTTCACCATCAGACAGGTGCTAATAGGTGAGTTTTGTAAATTGTGTACTAATAAAAAAAATTTAAAAAAAGATTTTCGCCTTGAGTTATTCACAATGTTTAGATTTTTTTTTGCATCCGAACAGATTTAATCAAATTACTGATGTGTTAACTGGTTGGCATCGTTTTTTTTTATTTTTTTTATCAACTTTTGAATAGCCAAAAGTGCAAAACAGGGCTGAAATGGTTTAGACTTTAATCGAAAATATTTCAATTGCAGGCTGAAGTTGGCCCAATGGAGTGGAAGTGCAAGTTGTGTTCTGCAACTTCAAATACCCGGGGACAATTATTTTGGCACTATACTGTACTGCATAGCCAATATTCAAGAGTGTCCCCCCTGCCATGTCTCTATGACAGTTGCATTTGTACTTTTCCATCATTCGAAGCGATGAAAGCTCATCTGTCAAGATGTCATAATGATTTATGTAGAGTAGATGCAACTGAAGGAGCATGTGTTTTTTTTACATGTCCTTTGTGTAACTTCAAGCAGCCCTTTTCTGAGGAAATTCTATTGGGTCATTTGAGAAGTCATTTACGAAGTCATGAGATGGTAGCATGCCCATTCAAGAATTGTAATTACAGAACAAATAGCTACTCAGCGTTTAATGCACACAAAAGTAGAAAACATGGTGGTGATTCAGACTTTGGTGAATGTGTTGTATTGGCAGACAATGATAGTGCCCCAGTTGTAGTTGCAGCAGAAAGTCTTGGGGAACACGCTGAAAGTCACAGTGCAGGGTCTGCGGACACATTTGATCTTGATGAGGTGAACGGTCAGTGTGACACAGACACTTTAAGAGCCCAGTTGAAGCATAACTTGGCATCATTATTCCTAAAGATGCAATCTATTCTTCATGTATCTGACATGGCATCTCAGGAGATAGTGGAACATTTGACTCAGATATTTTCCTTGACCCAACCGATACTCAAACAAGATATTAGAGAGGTCTTACAGAGTCATGACATCACTGTCAGTGAAACACTTCTAAATGATGTTATCAGTACTGTTATGGACAGTAATATTATTGTCAGTGCCACAGCTAAGGGGAAGCAGTTATCCTCAACCAAGAGAAGGAAAACCTTCATCGAAAATAATTACCCTGTGGTAAAGCCTGTACAGTATCTGCTACAGCCAGGACACACAGCAGTGCATGTTCCCATTCTGGAGATGATACAAAAAATCTTCATTCATACAGATATTCTGGACAAAATTAAAGAAACAAAAGTGGCACAAAACAGTCATTATGTAAGCCACCAAGATGGCTTGTACTTCAAAGAGAACACATTATTGTCTTCAGATGAGTTAACGATAACACTCATTTTGTACATTGATGATTTGGAAATAGCCAATCCACTTGGCACATCACGGAAAATACACAAAATCTGTTCAGTATACTGGACTCTTGCTGATCTTGCCAGTAAATACCGATCAGCCCTGCATGTAATTCAGCTTGCAGCTTTATGTAAAGTGGCTGACATACAGACATTTGGCTATGAAAAAGCACTTGGTCCTTTGTTGAGAGACCTTCGTACCCTTGAACAAGATGGGGTATTCATTGAGTCTATTGGTAAGGTAGTTCAAGGAACAGTCATGTGTGTGGTGTCTGACAATCTTGCAGCCCATGATTTGGCAGGCTTTTCAAAGTATTTTAGAGCAGAATATTTTTGCAGATTCTGCACAGCGACACAAGCTAAACTTCAGACTCATGAAGTTGCAAGTGGCGAGTTCAGTCTTAGGACAAAAGACAGCCATAATAGTGATGTGCATGCTGTAATGCATGGGGGTAGTCAGAGTCAGAATGGTGTTCAGGCAGATTGTGTCCTGAGCCAGCATCTAGAGCATTTTCATACGGTCACTGGCTTTCCACCTGATGCCCTCCACGATCTTTTTGAGGGCATTGTGCCCGTAGAGCTCGCCCTGTGTATCGGAGAGATGATCCGTTGCAAATACTTCACCCTTGAATATTTGAACGAGAGAATTCTATCGTTTCCATACCAGCACACAGACAAGCTTGACAAACCTCATAAAATACCACAGACCTTCGCTGTAAAGAAAAGCATTGGTGGTAACGGCCATGAAAATGCCACATTGCTTAGACTGCTCCCTTTGATTATTGGGACTTCAGTTCCTGAAGAGGATGGAGCATGGACTGTGCTAATGGACTTAAAAGAGGTAGTAGAGTTATCGCTGTGCACAGAATTCACAGAGGAGTCCATCCAGTATTTACAGTCCAAGATACAGGATCATAGAGAGATGCTGAAAGAAGCCTTTCAAGATTTCAAACTCCGTCCTAAGCATCACTACATTGAGCACTATCCTGACCTTGTACGCCGTTTTGGGCCCCTTGTGGACAATGAGGTTTGAGGGTAAACACCGTTTTTTCAAGAGAGTTGTACACGACACACAAAACTTTAAAAATGTGTTAAAAACACTTGCAGACAGGCATCAATACATGGTAGCATACCATCTCAGTGCCTCCGGATTCTTCAAACCTCACCAGCAGACATCAAATGTATCTTCTGTACTGGTATCAATGCTTCCAAATGTTGCCAAGACATACATTGAACAAATAACAGCAAGCAATGTTATTTACAGCACATCAAAGGTCTGCATTGATGGAACTGATTATGATGTAGGAATGTTTTTGTCCGTGGGACAAGAGGGAGGACTGCCTAATTACTGTAGAATTGAACAGGTTCTCCTGGTTAACAGTAGTGTTGTCTTTCTTTGCCAAGAGCACACATCACACTACATTGAACACCTGAGATCTAACGAACTTTTCCCAAACAATCTGGCTGTTCACACCCCATCAGAGCTAAATGACAAAACACCTCTCTGCGCTTACAACATAGATGGAAGATTGCTCTTGACACCCAAACGTTTCATATTATTACACTGAAGATTTGTTGAACCAGGTAAACGGATAACTGCAACATTCTCTTGGAGCTGTGCGGACCAGTGGATACATGAATAAACTGCCCCACTACAGCAGCTGGCTTTCCATACATCCCATCGTTCAAGTGGTGTCCCAGTGTTTTTGTGGACCAGTGGGTATGTGGACATGTATATGTTGTGTGTGTCACCTTCGCTCTCCATGAAAATTAACATGTTTTTGTCTTTTAGGAATCAAAAGATGGCTGCTGCCCAGAAGCATGTACTGCGTGTGTATGTTGCACGAGACACCGCCCTGAAACTTACTCTACTTGAGCGACCAAAGTCAGTGGAGGAGCTGAAAGAAATAATGCAAGAGAGGTTCAAGCCGAGACTGGATGGGGACTTTAGCCTGCACTATGAGGATCCGGACTTTGATGGTGATCTTTGTCTTCTTGTGGACATTCAGGAGTTACCAGAGAAGGGCACATTGAGAGTCGTCAGACCTGAAGGTGACACCTCATCTACTGCATCTACTGCATCTTCTGACACAGACATTCTCCCACATGTACCTGCGTTACAGCGCCAGAAGAGTTGGCCTGATCACTTTGTTGTTCCTGGTTTTGGTTATGAAATGGAGCATATACTAGAAGAAGGAAATCACGTTTATGAAGAATCAGGAAAATTGCTGAAGTTAAAGAGGTCACAGAAGAGTGAAATCCTTAAAAAAATGGCAGAAACGATCTACAGTTTTAAACCATACACACATGAAAAGGAATTGGCAATGGCTGCTCAAGCTTTGATTAGAGCTCATCCATGTCTCAGAATGACGGCTGGTGAAGACGGGGAGTTGGGAATGGAAACGTCACATAGGGTACAAGGTTGCGTCTTACCGTAACAATCTGGCCAAAGCTGGGGTTGCAGAAGTAGCCATCAACACAGGGAGGCGGACCCGAAACAACCCTGACAATGATCACCCCCATCAAAACATAAAGAAAGCTCGAAAAGCTGAGGTCAACTACATCATCAACCTACCGAAGGATCAAACCCCAGCCACTCTGGAAACAATGAGAGAAGAAATCATACATGAAGTCGAAAAGACTGAGAGAAACCAATTAGTCATAGGCAAGCTCATGAACACAACCTATGCCCTTCGTCGCCAAGAAATCGTTGGAGCTCTTGTAGCTCCACGGGTGAGAGACGTCGTGGACAGATGGCCAGCCCTACTTATGGAGTCACAGGTAAAAAAAACTTTTATTTTACTGTTCTCCCTGTTGAGAGCAATTAATCAACATGACTCTTTAGCATGCCCACTTTGAACATGATTGATTTTTCTATATTTAAATGACTATTTACATTTTCAAAAGATTCACCAAAAAGCAAATGGCAGATGTAAAAGTTGACACATCAAGCTGTGACATATTTTTGCCATTCACAGTAAACAAAGTATACAGAGGTTTATTATTTTAATTTCCTTTTAGATAACATTATACAGCCTGATTTAAATTAAAGAATGACAATTAACTTTCTATTTTGACCTTGGTTCTGACTCATCCCTAATAGAATTGACCTTTGTTTTGCTACCTGCCAACTGAAAACTTCTTAAAATACATTCACAATTCTGTTCCTTATTCATCTTTGTACATTTCTGTGTAATTCTGTCCATGTACAGGTGTTTGCAGAGTTCCACCGAATCAACAACGTTAACCTGCGCAATCAATTCTACAAGGAGCTGGACAGACACACGCCTAAACTCATCACCTTGTTCAGAGACAAGGGCACCAAGACTGGCAAGATAGCGGAGGAGCTAGCCAAGCTCATGAGGATTTATGAGCTTCAGGTGAATTTTTTAACTTTGCATGATTCAGAAACAAACAACAGTTTGAAGCCATGGTGTGAATTGCCTCGACTGTGCCCCAAGGTTAAAGTGATGGTTCGGAGTAATTTCACCCTAGGGTCATTTGCACCATGACCTCGAGCCAAACACCCCCCCAGAAACTTTTTTCACCTGGGTCGAACATTGGGAGAGTTAGCGTAGAGTAGCGTTATCAGCTGAATAGCTTAGCGCAGGGGCTAATGGATCCGAAGTGTCTCTTAACATTACCCCACTAATAATGCCCGAAATTATACCAAACGTCTACAGTAGTACAAATAGGTTATGCACTCATAAAACGATGGATTGTAAAGTTTGTAAGTACACCAGAAGTGTATGTAAATAACACTTGCCTGCTGGCTTCTGCTCTCTGCTGTTGTTGTTGCTGCTGTTACTACCGGGCAGTAAGAGTGCTTAGGGCCGTTTACAAATTACAACACCGAAAAGAGATGCAACAAATATTTAATGATTAAATAAGGTAATGTCTCCAAACTTACCTCAATTATAACTTGTCTCCTGCTAGTTATTCTACAGCACTTACTTTAAAAATAAGTTAAATAAAAACATGTTTTTGTTGCATCTCTTTTCGGTGTTGTAATTTGTAGACGTCCCTAAGCACTCGTCTTACAGCAGCAACAACAACAGCAGAGAGCAGAAGCCAGCAGGCAAGTGTTATTTACATAAACTTCTGGTGTACTTACAAACTTTACAATCCATCGTTTTATGAGTGCAACCTATTTGTACTACTGTAGACGTTTGGTATCATTTCTGGCATTATTAGTGGGGTAATGTTAAGAGACGCTTCGGATCCATTAGCCCCTGCGCTAAACTATTCAGCTGATAACGCTACTCTACGCTAACTCTCCCAATGTTCGACCCAGGTGAAAAAAGCTTCTGGGGGGGTGTTTGGCTCGAGGTCATGGTGCAAAGGACCCTAGGGTGAAATTACTCCCAACCATCAATTTAATTGATTATGCCATGAACGCAACATTGTCATCTCATCAGAGATAGACGTCTTGACAAGATGTATTCTATCAGAAAGAGGTACCTTAAAAAGATACTTTGTCAGCTTCAATTTGAAGAAGTCCAAATAACTACTGTTTTCGTAAAATTTGATTTACAATTTTAACTTTTTTACTTTGTGAGTTATTAAAGTAATTACAATAGAAAGTTATTAATTTGAAAAATGTTTTACTGAAGAAATGATGACCCAAAATACTGAATCTACCATCTATAGCAATGACCACCATCAGAATATGGAGCTATTTAACACTTAGATTTTGAGAGTTTGCTCTGTATTTGTGTAATTATTATTGTAATGGATATTTTTTGTCCATGTAGGAACAACGTGATGTAAATATGAGACGGGCCCTCGTCCTTCGTGCACTTCCTGTGTACCTGCGTGAAGATGCCTCCAAGTTTTTCAGGACCTGTAATGTAAGTGTACTGGCCTCACTATCAATCCCTTTGCTTAGCTATTCAGTCAGCTTAAACATGACATCACTCAAAGAACTCTAGGAGAACCAGAGGGGCATTCCAGAAAGCAGGTTATGTGAAAACCATCAGTATAGCCAATTGTATTTTTTCCAACAACGTAATTTCAAAGTCCGTGTTTCTAGTTTGTCGCCGCATTGAGTATGAGATAAAATGTTTTTATATTTCATTTTCAGCCGATTTAAATAAAACAAAATAGCCTAAAATAAAACATTGAACAACATTCAACCACTTCCTTAAAGGCTAATATAAAATAAAGTGATAATTTCAAAATGAAAAGACGACTGCATCTGAAACTCTGTCAGTGATTTATATAACAGCCGCAGCCAGAAAATGTCTGCTTCCTGTTTTCTCCCGTTGCCATGGTGAATAACCGTATCGGAGCTCCATTGATGATGGCTTTTTACTAGTCGTCAGGCACAAGCTCAACTCCGAGTTAACGTACTCTGAGTCAACTTACCTAACTCAGATCAGCTGTTCTGTAACTGAAAACTCAGTTTCACTTCACAGGGTAAGTCAACTCTGAGTTCAGGGTTAGGCTCAGTTTGTTGAACCTCCTTTCTGGAATAGCCCCCAGGACCTGTTTATGAAGTTTCCTTGAGTTGTTATTCTGCAAACTGACATGTAGAAATTACATAAATGAAAAGGTAAGTATAAAGAATTCCACTAAACAAAAAGTATGCTTACAGGTAGGTGTGAAACTAACATAAAATAATAAGCATGTGTAAAGAAAATAGTTTAAACATGTAGCTTAGCTGCAGTCTAAGTGCAAAGTGACCGTAATGTCTAGACATCATTAGCATGATTTGTATCCTTGAGGGGCTGAACTCATTTTTGTATTATTTGTGTTTTATAGTCAGCAGATGGTCCAGACCTCACTGACACTCCGGTGGCTCTCCTGACAGTTGTCACTGATGATACTACTGATGCGGCCCTCTTCAGCCCTGAGAGCATCTGTATTGTCGTGGAAGATGAAATACTTGTGAGTGGTCCCACAAACCTGGCTGACTCATTTATCCTGCTCTTTGGGTATGTCTATGCACTAGACCTACAGTACCCAAAGAATCTCGAGCTTACATTCACATTTATCCAAAAAGTTGTGATGTGTCTTGAGGACAACAAACCACTGAAAGGGCGTCTACTGACACTGAAGAATGATTTGTTCAATGAGTGAATCACTCAGAATGGACTATTTGTTGAGCTGAGTATTGAGGATGTTTTTTGTTTTTTTTCCCCTCTTTACAAATGTAATAATTTGCCTCTTCTACCTCATGTTTAATATGTTACACTGTTTGCCTCTTCTACCTCAGATTTAATACATTGATTGTTAATAGATAAATATCACAACATTGACGTATTGCCAAGCCCAAGTTTTTGCACTGTAGTTGTGGGAAACGACTGTTGAATTCATGCACTATACATGTTTAATGTTGTGTGACCTAATGCTTACCTTGATGTTGCCAGTTGAAGTACGGCACAGTAGAAACCAGTACTTTTATTTGAAGGTTTTATTTTAAAAAAGTTAGTTGCAGCCTTCAAGGTACAGTAAGTGCCAAAACGTTTTAAATGGCTCCACATTCTAATAGTTGTTATTGCTGTTGAGGATGGATTATAATTAGAATCTTATTGAATTTTAACATGAAGCCTTTGTGAGTTTTTATCATAATGTTTACTGAATAATGTGATATGGAGACCGAAAATACTGAATCTACCCTCTGTAGCAATGACCACTATCAGAATATGGAACTATTAACACTTAATGTACTTTAAAACACATTTTGTTTTTATGGAGTCATTTCCTTTTTTGTTTTAATTTATGACAAGCACTTTGTTTTGACTGAGCTCCTTTTGATTCGTGCCTTTTTAAAAGCACATTGTGTTGAATAAAAAAAAAAGTTAAATTGTCACTGTGGTGTCACTTTCATGTTTTCTAACATTATTCGCTGATTATAATTGTGTAATGGACCGACATCAGTATTTCAGTTTAGAATTAATTTTGATTGCATGTCCCACATTATGAGTTGAAGAATATTGAAAATTTTGAGTGTATTTCACACATTATAGGAGTTGAAGAATATTTAATATTTTGAGTGTATTTCCCACATTTATGAGTTGAAGAATATTGAAAGTTTTGAGTGTATTTCCCACATTATATGAGTTGAAAAATATTGAAAATGTTGAGTGTATTTCCCACATATGAGTTGAAAAATATTGAAAATTTTGAGTGAATTACTCCCTAATTATAAGTTGAGGAATATCAATATTTATAAGATAACATTGAGATAATTTAAGGCAACTGTAAATATAATTTTTATTTTATGTAAACTTAAAACATTTAAAAACATCACTAAAATATTTTTGTGTAATCTGTTACAAAATAATTTTTGAGTTATGTGAACTTATTATGGTTTACAGTGTAGCTGTGTAAAAGAGAAGACGTTTCGTGGTCTTCCTTGTGCGCACTCCGCCATTATGGTAGTGGGCCTAGCGGGGTACTAGATTTTGTACTTGTCATTTATTAGAAAGAAGTTGAAAAATCGGCTCTTTATTATAAGCAAGTTTCGTTGAGTTGAATAAGAATCGACTCCCAAAGAATCTAACACCTGACTTTCATAATACAAATATTAACTTACCATTCCTCCTGCTGACTTGATTTGATAATGTGGGAATGTGTCTTCTGCTCGTAGTTATTAAATGCAGTGAAAATACAAACAAAACATTATACAGGATTCGTATCAACTTTTTGGCGTTCCTGTGATAGTTGTAATCACTCATTTGTTCCTCTAGGTGGCGACAGAGGACTTTGTAGAGCTGATGGGTCCTGAGACGTTATAGCAGAGACAGCAGAAATCAAAGGAGTGAAGGGACGCTTTCAGATGTACAGAGACCATAGCCACGGGAAGTCGTTTGGGGGTGGAGGGGCTGAGATTTTTAGTTTGAACAGACAGCTCGGTGCATTCAACATGTTAATACTTCTTACAAAAAGTCAATCTCTCCTCCACTTTGAGCCAGGAGAGATTGACATGCAAATGATCAATTATCTCAGTGTACATTTAAAGGCCAGCTGTGCTGCCCCGTTCTGAACCAATTTTAATTGTACATGGCTAAATAACAGTTGACAAGTTACATTTTAAGCCCATCATCTCAAAATATATATATTTTAAAGCCCTCTGCTTTACACCTCTGAAGCCCTCCCGTGTCATGGTATATTTTCATAGAACTGTACAGTGCAGAGGAGGCTGGTGGGATGAGCTATAGGAGGATGGTCTCATTGCAATGGCTGGAATGGAATTCATGGAATGGAGTCAAACATGTGGTTTCCATACGTTTGATGTGTTTGATACCATTCCATTCATTACAATGAGTCCATCCTCCTATAGCTCCTCCCACCAGTCTTCTCTGGTACAGTGTCATTGAATATCCTTTACTGAATCAAAGTGTATCAATGTGAACAATCCCTCTGTAAATGTTGAGGTACATGTTTACTTTCTACATTATTTTTACAGTTTATGTTGATATTTTTACTGGGGAAAAGGTAGATATTCACAACTACATAGCCTCTATAGCTCATGAAGCATTGTGGGGCTACATAGATCCTGTACATTGTTGTTCACTAACTCTGTAGACGAACTAGTGCATAAATAAAACATGGAATGGAGCCCTTAGTCCATCCGTTATCATTGTAATGAAAACATGGACTGGACTAGCAGTAATGTTCACTAGTAGTTATCAGTATAATGAAAACATGAACTGGACTTAGGTAATGTTCACTAGTAGACTACACTACAGGAGTTATCAGTATAATGAAACCATGGACTGGACTACAGTAATGTTCACTAGTAGACTACACTACAGTAGTTATCAGTATAATTAAACCATGGACTGGACTACAGTAATGTTCACTAGTAGACTACACAACAGTAGTAATCAGTATAATGAAAACATGGACTGGACTTCAGTAATGTTCACTAGTAGACTACACTACAGTAGTTATCAGTATAATGAAAACATGGACTGGACTAAAGTAATGTTCACTAGTAGACTACACTACAGTAGTTATCAGTATAATGAAACCATGGACTGGACTAAAGTAATGTTCACTAGTAGACTACACGACAGTAGTTATCAGTATAATGAAACCATGGACTGGACTACAGTAATATTCACTAGTAGACTACACTACAGTAGTTATCAGTATAATGAAACCATGGACTGGACTACAGTAATGTTCACTAGTAGACTACACTACAGTAGGTATCAGTATAATGAAACCAAGGACTGGACTACAGTAATGTTCACTAGTAGGCTACACTACACACATAAATAAGAGTGTCTTAACAAATCGTGGTATCTGTCCAGCACTGCCTCAATACTCTCATAATATAATGCTGATGGCTGCTGTATTAGGCTAGTGTGATAAATCAGTTGATTTAGGATAGACTACTTGTAAAGGTGCACCATCATCATGTGATTTAGTTGATTATTTTCTTGTCAGTCATTTTTTATGAAATTATATTAATAAATTGTAGAGTTTAATTTGTAATAGACAGTCTACCACCGCCATTTAGGCCATATTTAACTGCCAGAGAACAGTGAATATCATCCTCAGGTGGCTGCCCTTCCCTTGCCCTTAGTCTGCCTGCTGTCCCTCCTATCACCATGGATACACCTTCCTGAAAACAATAACACTGTACTTTGTTTAAACCTGTTCTGCCAGTTCATGTCCTTAAAGATTAGAATGTTCCAATGTGGTTAGTCAAAAAGATGACAAGATGGTTCACACGTTCATCATCCAGGGTCACTATCAAACAGATATGTTATATTTCTGGTTCCTCCATAAATAGTTTCCTGCTTGTAGCAGCGCACGATTACAGGAATCCTTTTCTGTAACTCTAAGTCACATGATTTCATGAGAAAATATGTCTGCAGTGAGGGTGTGTGATGTAGGGTACTAGGGGGTAAAAAGCAGCGTTTGGAAGAAAAAAATGTTATGTGGATGAAGGTCATGCTTAGGTTAATAAACTTAAAAGGGAGATTAATTGCTACAGTTGACATTTACACTTGTTTAGTTATTTCATTAAATGTTGTTTTTAGAAAGGGGGCGTTTTTTTAAGTACCGGGGAGTGTGATGCAAGTCAAGGTGTCCTTGGATGAAGATGCACAACCAGCATTGTAAATATATGTTTTAATTCAATTAGACCAGACCAGTTTACGCCCTAAAAGAAGGCATTGAGGGGATTTGATTAAGATGGCCCTGGTTGCACCGGGCTATGGCCATTCACGTGACCAGGCAAAGCCATTTGGGAGGCTCGCCCTGCTGTCAACAATGTAGCATGATGCATTGTTCAGAAAACATGCATCTCTTTTCCATATATGTTCGAATTTTCAGATTAGTTTTCATTGGGAAGGCAGATAATGCGTTATTATCAAAAGCAAAACATTTGCATGTGAAAACACAGAATCCTACTAATTTACAACAGGTAATTACCACCTTCCCACTTGGGTATGAACGCATTACACTTGACTGTTTTAAATGAAAGATGTTGTTCCAGATCCTCTTTTTCTGCAGTTGTGCTACAAACATTATCACATCTCACAACGCCTGGATAAGTGTTTAACGTCTCAGAAAACACATTCATGTGACATAGCAATCTTCTGAGACTCACGCAACTGCAAAAAAAGACGATGTGAACGGAGCACCGCCAACAGGATTTTACTTGTCCCGCGTCTCAAACAGGGTAAAATAGGAGTAGCAATGTAGTTTTTGAATCATAAACATTTGACAATGTATGCTGTGTTTGGTCATATATGCTAAGAAAAAAAATAGGCTTGGATCCGATGTTAGGCCTAATTGTAAAAAAATAAAAATAATCGTGATCTTCCTTGTGCATAATACGCCATTAGGCTATGCAAGTATGGGAAATTAGATCTTTACCTGTTCAAATTACCTGAAAGGAATTGCAGCGACCTATTTTGAATAATAATTAGCCTACCTGCCAGTCATCCAAAATATCCTAACTTGACACTTGTATACTACTTTTTCGTCTGTTCTTCTAAAAACATTTAGTAAAAGTCCCAATCCATTTTTGCGTGGCCCATAGCTTGGGTTTAGCGATATCAAATTGAAATCAAATCAAGTCAAATTTTAGGCTCCTTCCTTATTGTTTATGGTCAAGTTTGATATGAATAAAACATATTTAGCCTAATAATTTATACAGGCTCTATTTATGATTAGGAAAAAATATTTCATGAATTTGAGCATTATATTAGGCCTATTTTAGTTGTGTAGTCAATTATAGAGAAATGTGCCATTTTTATTCCAAGAAGGCTGGTGGCCTTGTGTATAATTTTATGGCATGCGGTAACAACAGATAGGCTACATTATCATCAGTCAATAAGTCACTGATAAAACCACAACCACTGGCCAGAGCCATATGGATTAAATTCACGCTTTGCTTTGGAAACCAATAAAGATGTTCAGTTTGATTTAGCATCCTTCTAGACACATTCACAGCCTACCATGTTTTGAAAGTCATGTTAAAGGAGGAATAGCGGAGGGGCTTGCTTAGCCTAGCCTATCGCGCATGGGAACAGCTGGAAGAGAGGTTAGAGATCTGTAGCCGATATTGGAAGCTAAATAATAGCTAGATATTAGGCCATTAATTTGTTAAATAGTAGGGCTATAAATATTTACCTGTCAAAGTGGGATAAAACAAGTTGACATATTATAAAATGGCAGATCTGTGCGTTTCTCCGGGCATGCGTTCTGCAGTCCCGGACACGCAAAACTACACTATTAATTAGGCCTACGTTCTT